AAAAAAAAACAAAAGCAGAATCAGATTAGCCCTCAAAAAAGTACACAGGAGCCAGAGGGTTACTGCAGCATCCTTCGAGTGAAGGGAGTGCTCTTAGTAATACCTGGGGTTTAAAAAAAATTCAAGTTACACCCTTACTACTAGGAGGGGCGCTTTTAAAGAGGAGGGTGGAAAACAGCCTACCCCAGGTAGTGAGTGCCGCGAACTTCACGAAGACAAAGCCAGCAGAATTCACAGCCACAAATAAAGCAGGACATGTGGTTACAGGAACCATCATCCAGCTTGAGGAGGAGAGTCTTGCATCGCGGGCACGGTTTCACTTGACCTAAAAGAACGGAAACAGCACAGCATGACAAGAAAATCAGATGTGATGAGAATCAAAAGACATTAAACTGCTTGGTGAAAGCATCAAAAGGTCAGACATGGTAAAGTGTCCTTTTTTAAAAGGATACTACAAGGTATCAGCCTCCTGGTGCAGGTGTCAGAGAAAAATTACAGGTTATAATGAAAAAAAAAGACAACAGACGCTATGAACAGCCCAATATAACTGTTTGGGGGTCTGACGACCGTAGAGCGCTCCCTAGACTCCCCGAGTGTCATGCTAATACTACACTGACCCTCGTTGACGAACTTTCACCTCCTACCTTCTCGCCCTCGTTGATGAACGTTCACTGCTCCCCCCCCCCTAACGAACGTTCACTAACTGCCTATATTACTCTGGCCATTCTTTATCTCTTTTCAGTTCTTATACGCCAATTGTAGAATGAATAAAACCTAACTCTAGGGTACTCGCTAATTCTCTCTCCTCTTCTGTTTGGCTCGTACTTACTGAATCTCGCGACTCTATCTACTCCGATCACGACACGGAGTAAAACAACTCTAATAAGAAACTTGGCAGATAGAGCACTTTATTCTTGACGCTTTGTGACCACGGACAGGTCAAAAATTAGGTAACTGCAGATAATACCCGGAACGCAGGAAGAGATCCCTCAACTAGATGCACTAACTGCTTGGACTTTTGAACAGTGCGTTGTTATGATGTGAGTGGAACTAAAAAGCCAACTAAAGTTTAATCGGCTTTTTGAGTTGATCAATTTTGCTTCAAAACACTTTCAAACTTCGTGTTGAAGTTGAGTAATGGCAGCTGAGGTCACTTAGCTGTGCTGGCCAGTCATAAAGCTTACGTGTGTGTGAAAGACTTGGAAGACGTTCTTGATCGATATCACCACCGACTTACTTGACTCTATCACAGTTAAACTGCTGCAGCCCCCCAGGCGGCTATGACAGACAGGAAAGAAGACGAAAAAATCTAAAACTTGAAATTCTTTTCGCGTGTACAACTTTGTCTTCCAATGGACAGTGGCAACAACGGTGCGAAACCTCAGGCGGGTAATGTATCAGTTGTAGACCACAATCTTTTTTGTCAGAATGCAGCCCTCGAGACTAGCACTTTCCCTCGCCTTAACTCCAGAAGTCCCAGTGATATCCCCACTGTTGCAACCTAAGGAACAGTATCAAGACGTTCTAGTTGGCATATATGCGTACCTCTTTCGTGGTGTAGCTATCAAAAGCCTAATTAGATAACAAATATCATGCGAGAGTAGCTCGACGAGAGATACTCATGCATTCAGTAATGTATCCGATCTAATGCATCTTAACAATGTCCTCACTAACAATGGACTTAACAGGAGTCTGACGGCAAGGAACTGTGCACGTTCAAATCTGAGACTTATTTAGGACTCAATTCTGCCTCAGCATATCCGATTACTCGGACTAACCGGGAGGATGGGAAGGGAAGACTGCGCATAAGCGGTTTCGAATTGTCAGCAGTTTTACTGAATTGCAATGAGTGATAACTGGCCTCGGGTATTTTTAAAAACACACCTAAAATGCTAAGGGTACTCTAAATCGACGGCAATTCAAAGCAAGAGCGCGCTTTCGTAAGTGGAAAAATAACTGAATAACACGACGTCTGAATGTGCTGGAATGCATTTTAAACATTTTCCCCTGTATAAAATAAGTCCCAAGTGCCATTAAATTCACGGCGTACGGCGTGGCTCAAGTGGTAAAATAAGTTTGCAAACGTTGCGGAGATACTAACAGCTGGTAGGCACAATTAACTTCAGAAAATAAATTAGAGAAGAGCAGCTCAGTCTGGTAGTACGGAAAAGAGAGTGCTCGGGCTGAGGGAATCGAATGAGTTCGCATTTAAGATACAATAAAAAGATTATGATGACGCGAGCAAGCAGTGCCTTCGATCTACTACAAACTTTCCCAGATCTTCGCCACACACCATGAGGGTTAATACATTTAGCATAAGAAATAACAATAAAAAAAGGTTGTGACAAGTAGCACGGACAGGGCAGGGAAAGTAATATATAAACTCACCAGTTTCTTCTCCGGGTAAATTGATTTCCACACGAGAAATGTCAGCGTCCACTGAGGTTCTGCAGAAAAAAAAGAGAACAAATTACACTTTTAGACTCTAACGAAACCTAATATCAACGAAATGCTTCACCGGCATAAAACGAGGAAAGCATGATTTCTGATGGGCATATACAAGGTCACCAAGAGGAATGAATACGATGGTAGAAGATTTTTGTCAGCATAGAAATTGGAGAAATGATAGCTGAAATTTCATTAAGTGCCTTTGTTTAAAAAGCATCAGCTCAGCGAAATCACATAAGTTTTATGCCTACTATGATATCGGTTTTTGGCGGAGCCCCGTCATATGCAACTGCAAAGGTCTTACTCATTAAAAGTACATACTTCAAGTAGCGCTTTAAGCTCGAAACGCTGAACGCACTTGGACTCAGAAATACCAAATGGCAACTTATCTGAGTCGTATACCTGTTTGAAATTAGGAAGAGGCCGCTAAATGCTTAAAAAATGTATAATGGACACGAACGACACTGTGGCTTACATATCAGTATTTACACAGATATCACATTATTTGACTAATTATTTAAACGGCCTAGAGTTTCTTATATTTAAATACCTTTTAAAGCCAGACGTCACCCTTTCTTGTGCGAAAGTTGCACGCCTCAATGGTCCAAACAAATAGATTATTTTCCTTAAATATTAATTTCGCATCGGGTTTTGCGCAAGTTTTCCCGCCTATTATAACGGCAAAGTTGTTGACTCAGAAATAGGGAAGTGCTAGAAAAAGGTATACGGGTTTCAGGCGAGTCTAAGACCAATGTGATTCTTTTGGGTGCAAAATAGAAATTATCAAATATGCTAGAAGACGAATCGGCTAAAAGTTACTCTAGATGTAATTCTCAGGTGTGAACTCGGTCGCTGAAACCAATGATGCTCAGAGTGGCTGGTACGAAGTTGTCCTAATTTTCATATACTACCTAGGTGTTAAGCAGATGACTTCTTCGGTAGTCAACCTGACTTTTCGAGTGGGACAACAAGAGTACATTGATGACAATGCTTATTACAAAGGAGATGAATGCGCCATAATTATCCCTTAAAGTATACAGGCCAGACAGGATGAAACAGCTCGCGAATACTCGAGCACAAAGGTACAGTTTTGGGAGGCGACTTACTGTCTCAAATCGCTACTTGCACGTTCGAGGAAGGCCACAGGCTCGCTTTCGCGAAGGCGCGGGTACTGTCGCGAGTCCGCAATAAGGGAAGGGGGGGGCGGAAACTGCTGGAGGAGTGGATGCCTGACACCATCCTCATAGCTTACCGGAATTAGGGCAGTGACCTCCAGACTGGTTTCCTTGGTGTTTGATTGGCCCCTGCCTTCTATAAGTGTTGCTTGTTTTTTGTTGTCGCTTTTATCTCTGACACTAAAGTCCAGTAAGATATCGAAAGCCCAGACGAATAAATCCACAGGGTGTCCCATAAAAATGCATACACTTTTTAAATAATTGTAAACTTGGTGTTTATTCTGATATTATTATTTCAGAAATGCACAATATCCACAAGTATCATTTTATTGTTTTTTCCCCTGCATATTCTGAAACTGACGTCCATTTCTGCATTTTCTATACATTGTTCTAAATACCACCCGCAATACTGTACTTTTCGGTCTAGATGACCGCCATTAAGAGCATGGACTTATCTTGCGATATAACTTTTCCAATGACAACGTTGCATAATGCGATGCAGTGAAAAAAAACAATAAAATGATACTCGTGAATAATTTTATATTTTTGAAATAATAAGATCGCGTGGATGCCAAAGAAGCCCTCCGAGTGATCTACAAAGTACTCTCAAGCTATTCAAAATTTCTTGGACAGCGTCTGTTGGCTACGGGCAGAAGTGGCCGCCATTAGGCTACGTCGACCGGTCCTGCGCACCCAAAAGAACTTCGTTGTGGCGCCGCAGTTATCATGGGCAAAGGCCGCTAATCTAACAGCCAGCAGCTTATCACCTCGGCCGACTACCAGTCCCGCCTAACGTTGATCAGATTTTGACCCTGATTCCCCCTCCCCCTGACAACCGTACTATTTTTTCTATCAACCTGCATCGTTTATTTGCT